CCCAGACCAGACAGTGCTATGCTTGTGATGCAAATGAAATTTTACATGAAACAGATATCTCTCTCATGGAAATTACTTGCAGAAATTAAATAGAACTCCTTTAATTTTGCCATTTTGCAGGATTCACTCTTTGTGAAAATTTAATTCCTATCACTTTACTCTGCAGCTGGTTTTAATCTCTGCATGGCTTCTCCCAAAGACCAGTTGTGGAAATTTCAATCGTTAAGTGAAAAATATTCACAACAAATGTGGCACAAAACCTGATTTGCTTCACTGTCACCTCCAGTTTTGGATCCTTTAGTAGGGGATATACAAATCTTGTTAATTCAGTAAGTTTCTCATTGTCTGAGGAAGACGCTATATATACTCTAATTGCATTTTTGTTATATGTACGGTTTGTCAGTTTAATCCTTAAGATTAGCAAATATGTGTTTATGGTTTTCATAGTGATACTCATAGGTATCCTGTAATGCTTTCTGGAATTTTTCAGAATAGCAAGTTCTGATAACTTTAAAAGGTAGACAATGTGTGATGTCTTCCACTGATTCATACAGATCTGAGTTGGAATCTTCACTACAATTTAAGTCATCATAAGTGCATCATAACAAGCCAACTCAACAATTTGTTATTTATCCAAGATTCACCTACACAGTGAGTACCTCGATAACAACAAAATCAGTTAACCTTAAGTTTTAGTAAACTCAAGCTACACATCTTGTGCATATAAATCAGTATAACTGAAAGGCACAGGAAAGGGAAATTTTAACTTGGAATTGTAAAAAGTTTGTATAAACCTGAAATACCCAGTAGGTCTTTTCGGACAGCCCACTTCTTTTGTTTTCTTTTTTTTCTATGGATAAGCCTACAACTCACTCAGAGTTGAGGTAGATAATAGTTTCACTAGAAACTCTGTGGGAGAAAACGGCTCTTAAATTAATCAACGTAAAATCACTCAACTATGTCTTATTATTGTCATTCTCACTGCAATTTTTTTTTTTGCTGGTGGTCACCTAACTTTGTGAATGGTGTAGATATTTTTCGGTAACTAACTGCTGCTTGCCAAGAAGGGAAATAATTTGACTAAGTTTGTGAGCGGGGTTATTCATCAGTGGGTTTGAGAAACTGTGTGTATTTTTCAATGACCAGCTGTTGCTGCTGCTTGTTATGTTACTAATCTGACCAAGTTTGTGAGTAAGGTTATGCGTCAGTAGGTTTGAGAAACTGTAGTGGGTAATCAGCAGGAAAGTTGGTCAAAGTAAAACACTTCGGTGGTTTTCTTAAACTGTGTACACTGTAGTAAATATTTGAAAGCTAAGTCATTTTGGACATCAAATGGTTCATTGTGAAGAGGCATAGCATCATGTGGGAATTAGGGCTTTCTCATGTTCTACAGCCACTCGTGGGTACTAATTTCCAATCAAACGTGGATTTAACTTGAAAATCATGCTGTCATGTTCCTTTAACGCCCTGAAAATACCTGATCAGATAGAGGGGTACCTCACTGTTGGCAGAACTAATTTGATCGTTCTATTGGCATGCTTTAGATAAGTCTGCTTTCCCAAGCTGATTTATGTGGCAGAAAATTATCAAGATTTTAATAATAGAATGATGAGAATAAAAATGACCAACACGGTCCCCCCTCCAAATTGACAAATAGCCTCAATTGTCAAAACCCAGTGAATTCACTATAATCGTCAATTTAACATGAGGCAAGGCTGCTGATAGTGTTGATCAAAGACTCAGGTGTTCAATGTATGCATTGCTAGATTTGCGTATGAAAAGCTTGTTCTACTGAAATTTTCCAGCTTGTAATCCACTGTAAATTTTCTATTTGACGATGAGTGAGCCAGTACAGTTTACAGATAGGAGAGTCAGTCTTTGCACATTTTAGTTTTTCCAAGGAAACTGTTATTTTTTCACCTTTGTTTTTTTTTTCATCTGATCTTTTGAATTTATAAATGTATCAGAAACATCATTTTCTGTATGTGTTACTCGTCAGCTTATATTTTCTTCTAAAATACTTGTGTTTTGAAACCACTTTGAATTTTCCATCAGCGATTGTTTCAACAATCCACAAAATTTTGTAAAACTCACCACACGAAAAAACTTTACCAAAACTTTACCACACGATTTTTATGAGTACGAATCACTAAAGTAGCTAAATTTGTGAGCTTAAGTTTTCATGCGAAATGGTGTGACACAATTTCACAGTTGATTTTCATGAAATGCTGCGTGTGCTGTTCATCAAAGCCTTAGAGGAGCTTATTGTTCAGATGTTCACTTGGTTCATAATTTGTGTCTTTTTACTCTCGATGGGTCAATGCGATATTTAGATAGTAACATCTAAAAGAAAGGAGAGTCGGAGGGGGGGACTTGGATTGTGGGTTTGATCTTTACTTCTCATATTTAATAGCAATAAACTGTTTTTAAATTGTTTTTAAATTGTTGTGTCGCATTTTGCACAGAGTTTCAAAACTTGATTGGTATCATATACAGCCCTTCAATACTTTTTAACAATGTGTAGCTACAACAGAAAGGTTTGACATATTACCCCACCACCCTAAGTAAATTTTGGGTCTTTGACATCCTCCCTCCAACTTCATGTGTAGGGGGGCAGGGAAGTATGGATCTTCACAATGAATGACTGCTATGAAAATGATCATAATTTATTCTTGCCAATTATTTACTTTAATTTTGATCACATATAAGTAGCAGAATTCAAATCAGTGCTACATGTATTTTGCTTTTGGAAGGAGTCTAGACTCTACACATGTAGGATTACAGTTTAGCCCCTATTAAAAATATTTGAAGAACGCTCATGGGAATGGCCGAAAGGTGGCCGGGGCCACTCTATAGGGGTGGCTGCTTAAAAGGGGTTTTAATTATTTACAATATTATACTGACAATAGTTTTGGTACATTTAAGTGACTGGTTGATTAATAGGGGGTTGCTGCTAAATGGGACATAGCTGCTTAATGGGGTTTGTCTGTATGTTCTTTTGTCTGAAGCTACGTAAATGTAATGAGCCCCCGATGACATTCTCACAATATTTCCTTGCTAATTATCATTCTGCTAAGACATTTTGCACTCCTTCAAATGAGAAGCATACCTCATCATTAAAGGTTACGCTCTTTAACCTCTAGGCACAAAAAACAAAGATGTTTTTGTAATCGCTATTATTTCTGTTTATATCTATGTTTAATGGTGTTACATATTTGAATGAATGAATGAAAAACTTTAATTATGTGTTAAGGAATTCTAACGTGGGTAAAAAAAACCCTCTTCTAATAGGGGACACTTAAAATAAATAAAATAATTTATTAAAATTTAAACACCTAAAATTTTAAAGTATGTAATGGGGTTTTTCTTATTTATTTTTAACATTCACTTTTTTTAACTCTATGATATCATTGTTACTTTATCATACCAAGTTTACCCTGAGTCATTAGCCTAAAGAAGAAAGGCAGCTAGTGCCTTTTGAAATATTGATATTGATTTTATATATTAATCCTTTACTGTAAATAAATCAATTCCTTACTCTTTTTCTTGTGGCAACTGAAACAACAGTGAAGTGGGCATGGGTTGTGGGTCTTAAGGTGGGCCACAGACTGTGGGAGTGAGTCACTGGGCCACCAGCCTGCTTTTAGCAAAGCCATCAACCAAGGCCACCAATTAGTTGGATGTTTACATGATTTTTGTTTGCACAAAAACTTAAATGTGCATCTCGACTGGGATATAGTATATGCACTGTATTTTGTGAACTTATTTGCATAGTGCAGGTTGAATTAAACCCCTGATAACTCCCAGGAAGCATGTACTTTGTAGTGTTTCCATAACGAGACATGTGAGAATTGATCTGTTCCTCTTCCTCACCAGTGGAGCAGGCACTTCCATCTTGCCATCAACCACCCCATATGACCTGTTTAACATAAATAATAGTAGTAGATCTTATTGTGTAACTTGTTCAAATTTGTGTAACTTATAATTCAGATTAGCTTTCATTTACAAACTTTAAGAAACTACACATGTATAAACATTATAATTTATACCTGACATGTCCAACTGTGAGCTTTTGCATGCATTACTGACAAGGCTGGTTTCATATCACAGTTTCCTAATCCCCCAGCTTTTCCAGCCCACTTCCAATATTTGCAAACTATATCTTCCCAAAATTGACACTGGCTGGTATCATTTTTTTCTGATGTATAAAGTTTGCATAGCTATACAACTCCCTGGAACATGTTCATTGCCCACTGGGCCAAGCCATGCCTGCAACCTACATGATTGTATAAGTAACACTTTCAATAAGTACACAAATGCATCTCTTCCATATACAGCTGTAGATTTTCAGACCTAATACATTTATGACAATATATATTTCATTTTGACCTGCAGTCTCAAGTCCAGTCTCGTCAAGTTTGGCTGCTTTTTTGCCATGGTTGTTTGTAGCCCTCCAGTGTGAATCACCACATCTATTATCAACATCCTGTGGTCAAGCAAAACACCCATCAAATATCACGTCAAGAAAATAAGCTCTAAAAGCCATCAATTGACATAAACGTATGTCATACAAAATGCATTCTAAAGCAAAAAACCTTAGATTTGGACTTCTTTGCATATACTGCCTTCATGTGGCTGTCTACATCATGGT